GTTTGGTTTGCAACTTTTTAATTTTGAAATTTTTGTATTTTGCAAATTTTCATTTTTTGGCTTCTACAATTTTACAAAATTCTTGATTTGTTTTCAGTTTCATAATTTTTGTCTTAAATGTTTTGTTTCCTCAATTTTTCAAGTTTTTGATTTTTTCATTTTCCCGATTTTTTCATTTTTAGTTTCTGAAGTTCTTGATTTTATTTTTCAACTTTTCAATTTTACAATTTTTAAGTTTTCAGTTTGTTTCTTCAATTCTTCAAGTTTTTAATTCATAATTCATGTTTTCTTAAGTTTAATTTTCCAATTTTTCGATTTTAAAATGTTTTATCACAAGTTTTCGTTGTTTTATTTTCTTCCATTTTTCAATGTTTCGGTTTCATAATGTTTCCAATTTTTCGTTCCTTCAATGTTTGGTTTGCAATTTTTGATTCTTCAATTTTTCACTTCTACAATTTTACAAAATTCTTGACGTTTTTTCAGTTTCTCAATTTTACAATTTTTGTCTTCACTTTTCGTTTCCTCAATTTTTCAACTTTTTGGTTTTTCATTTTCCCGATTTTTTCATGTTTATTTTCTCGATTTTAAATCACAATCTTTCGTTTGTTCATTTCCTTTATATTTTCAATGTTTATTTCGATTTTATAACTTTTCCAGTTTTTAAATTTTTCAGTTTTGCAAAATTCCGTTTTTTCGATTTTTAAGGTTCTCAATTTTTAATTTTTCGATTTTTCAATTTTTCGGTTCTTCAAATTTTCGAGTTTTTAGATTTTTTAAAGTTTTCATTTTATAAGTTTTCGTTTTTTCATTCGTGAGTCTTCAATTTTGCAATGTTTCCGTTCTTTTGATTCGAAAAACCGGAAAAAACTGAAAAAACCAAAAATTTTTTCATTTTTGGTTTCTCAATTTTTAGTTTTCGAAGTTCTTGATTTTTATTTTTCAGCTTCTCGATTTTACGATTTTTAAGTTTTCAATTGTTCGATTCTTCAATTTTTCAAATTCTTAATTCATAATTCATGTTTTTCTTGGTTTTTAATTGTCCAATTTTTCGATTTTAAAGTTTTTTGTCACAAGTTTCCGTTTTTTTCATTTTCTTTCATTTTTTAATGTTTCCATTCAATTTTTCGTTTCTTCGACGTTTTGGTTTGCAGTTTTTTAACTTTGAAATCATTCGATTTTACAATTTTTCATTTTTTCTATTTTTCGTTTTTTGATTTTTTAATTTCTCTGCCTAATTTTACAATTTTTTAGTTTTCAGTTGTTCGTTCCTTCAATTTTTCAAGTTTTTAATTTATAATCCATGCTTTCTTGATGTTTAATTTTCCAATTTTTCGATTTTAAATTTTTTTAGCACAAGTTCCCGTTTTTCATTTTCTTTTATTTTCAATCTTTCCATTTTACAATCTTCAATTTTCGTTTTTTCAAATTTAATTTTGTCAATTTTCCAGTTTCTCGGCTTCCAAATTTTTCTATTTTTCGCTTCTTCTACGTTTTGGTCTGCAATGTTTTACTTCTGAAATTTTTCGACTTAACAATTTTTCGTTTTTTCAATTTTTTGTTGTTCGTGTTTCGATTTTTCAATATTTCGCTTCTTTAATTTTTCAGGTACTTGATTTTTATTTTTCAATTTCTGAATTTTACAATTTTTCGTTTCCTTAATTTTTCAAGTTCTTGATTTTGTCATTTTGGCGATTTTTTCATGTTTATTTTCTCGATTTTATATCACAATCTTTCGTTTGTTCATTTCCTTTATATTTTCAATGTTTCTTTCGATTTTATCATTTTTCCTTTATTCAGTTTTTCAAATTTTCAATCTTTGAGTTTTCAATTCCTCGATTTTTCAGTTTTGAAATTTTTCAATTTTTTGTTTCTTCAATTTTTCAAGTTCTTGATTTCAAGTTTTTAGACTTTTCGAAGTTTTCATTTTCTACGTTTTCGTTTTTTCATTCGTGAGTCTTCAATTTTACAATTTTGCAATGTTTCCATTCTTTTGATTCGAAAAGTTAAAAAACCGGAAAAAACTGAAAAAACGAAAAATTTCAAAACTGAAAAGGGGACAATCGAACAACTCGAAAAACTAAAAATCGAGAACTTTAAATCGAAAAAATTAATGAATAGAAAAATTGGAAAGAAAAAAAAAAGGAATCGAATCGAAAAATCGTAATCAAGGTAAATCGTTAATCGAAATTCATTTGTTTAACTCGTCTCAAAAAATTGATGACGTCATCATCGTCGTCATTTTGTAATGGAGAAACTCACTTGATCATAAATTCTTCGATTTTTAGTTTCGCAATTTGTAATTTTTCAACTTTTTAATTTTACATTGTTTCGAATTAAAATTTTTTTAATCACAAGTTTGCATCTTTTTATTTTCTTTCATTTTTCAATATTTTGGTTTCATAATTTTTACTTCTTTGAATTTATCGTTGCTTCAATGTTTGGTTTGCAACTTTTTAATTTTGAAATTTTTGTATTTTGCAAATTTTCATTTTTTGGCTTCTACAGTTTTACAAAATTCTTGATTTGTTTTCAGTTTCATTAAATGTTTTTTGTTTCCTCAATTTTTCAAGTTTTTGATTTTTTCATTTTCCCGATTTTTTCATTTTCAGTTTCTCAGTTTTTAGTTTCTGAAGTTCTTGATTTTATTTTTCAACTTTTCAATTTTACAATTTTTAAATTTTCAGTTTTTTTATTTACTTTCATTTTTCAGTTCTTCCGTTTTCAATGTTTCGGTTTCATAATTTTTCCAATTTTTAGAATTTTCGATTTTTTAGTTTTTCATTTTTCACTTCTATAATTTTACAAAATTCTTGATTTTACAATTTTTGTCTTCAATTTTCGTTTCCTCAATTTTTCAACTTTTTGATTTTTTCATTTTTCCGATTTTTTCATTTTTATTTTCTCTATTTTATATCACAATTTTTCATTTATTCACATTTTTCGAATTTTCACTCTTTGATTTTTTCAATTCCTCGAGTTTTTGGTTTTAAATTTTTCAATTTTGCAATTTTTTAATTTCTTGATTATCCAATTTTTCGGTTTCTTTAATTTTCAAAATTTCGATTTTACACTATTTCGTTTTTTCGATTTTCGAGTTTCTTAATTTAAATTTTTCGATTTTTCAATTTTTCGTTCCTTTAGTTTTTCAAGTTCCCAATTTTTATTCTTCAGTTTCTCAATTTTACAATTTTTAGGTTTTCAATTCGTTTTTCGAATTTTTCAAGTTCTTAATTTATAATTCATGATTTTCTTGATTTTCAATCCTCCAATTTTTCGATTATTCGTTTACGTAGTTTCTCAATTTTTATTTTTCAATTTCTTAATTTTACAATTTTTTGTCTTTTTCGTATGTTCTCGATTTTCTCTCACAATTTTTCGTTTTTTCATTTCCTTTATTTTTTTCAATGTTTCTTTCGATTTTATCATTTTTCGGTTATTTAGTTTTTCAAATTTTCAATCTTTGATTTTTCAATTCCTCGATTTTCGAGTTTTTAAATTTTAAAATCGGAAAAAACCGAAAAAACGAAAAATTTCGAAACAGAAAAAGTGGAAAATCGAAAAACTGCATATCGAACAACTGAAGAAACAAAACATTGAAAAAAGAAGAAAAATGTTGAGAAACTGTAATACTGAAAATTCAGAAAATTAAAAATTGAGAAACCGAAAAATCAAAAAAATTAAAAATTGTAACATCGAAAACTTGAAAATTTTGGAAATCGAGCGACTGAAAAATAGAAAAAATGAAAGTTAAAAAAATGAGTAATTATGAAACCTCAACATTGAAAAGTTGAAAATCAAGGGAAATGGAAAAACGAAAAATTGTGATATACTTAAAATGTGGAAAATGAAAATTAAAAAATTGGGGTTAAATAGAAAACAAAAGGCAGCAACTTAAAAAAACTGAGGAAACGAAAAATCGAAATATTAAAAACATTGAGAAATCGAAAAAATGAAAAATTGTGATATCGAAAAATTGAAAAATTTGGTAGTCGAGAATTCTAAAACGCCAAAATTGAAAAAGTGTTTTTTTTTAAATTATACCTTATTTAACATTTAACATGAAAACTTGAAAAATTGCAAATCAAAAATTCAAGAAACGAAAAATTACAAAATCTAAAAGTTGAAAAATTGAAAAATGCAAAAACTGAAAAATTTTACATTGAAAAAAAGAAAAATTATGAAATCAAGACACTAAAAAACCAAACCCAAAAAACTGAAAATCGAAAAATTGAAGAAATGAAAAACTGAAATTGAAGAAACAAAATAAATTCAGAACAATGAAAAATTGAAAAACTATAACATAAAGCAAACAAAAAATCTAATGAAAAATTACAAAGCAAAAATTTGAAGAAATGAAAAATTGAAGAAACCAAAAAAAATAAAAAATTTCAAATCGACACATTTGAAAAAACGGAAAATTATAAAAATAAAGGAATCAAAAAACCGTAATGGAAAATTATAAAGCGAAAATTTAAAGAAATGAAAATTTGAAGAAACCAAAAAAAAAATAAATTGAAAGATTGTAAATCGAAAATTTGAAAAATGAAAAATTGAAAAAACAAAAAGTAATAAATTTGGAACAATGAAAAATTGAAAAAATATAAAAATTAAGAAAACAAAAAACTAACAAAAAATTTCAAATCGAAATAAAAATTGAAGAAACAAAAAAGAAAAATCGAAAATTTTCAAATCGAAAAATTGAAAAAAATAAAGAAAATAAAAAACTGAAGCGAAAAATTCGAAGCGAAAATTTAAATAAAACAACTGCAAAAATCTAAAGATTGAAATTGAAGAAACAAAAAATAATAAATTGCAACAATAAAAAATTGAAAAAATATAAAAATAAGCCAAAAACGAAAAATTTCAAGAAATGAAAAATTAAAGAATCGAAAAATTGCAAAATCTAAAAATTGAATGAACAAAAAAATGATAAATTGCAAAAATTGCAAATCCAAAATTTGAAAAAATAAAGAAAATAAGACCCCAAATCCGACATAGAAATGGAAGAAATAAGTGCCGTTATCATCAGTAAACCGTCGAAGTCGAGCCTCAACGTCCCCCTCTCGGGTACCGAGCTCTTCCAGCAGAAGTCCGAAGCCGAGCAAAAGCAAGCCCAACTCCTCAAGGAGTCGTCGCCGAAGCCCTCGGACCCCCAATTCGGCACCCTCATGCACGGCAACCCGAACTTCGTCTACCCCATGTACTTGAAGAACGGCAAAATGAAAGAAAAGCGCTACAAGTGTCACAAGTGCCCTAGCGCGTTCGAGAAACGCGAGCAATACAAAGTCCACTTGAACCTGCACGGTTCCAAGCAGAAGTACAATTGCGAGTACTGCGACTACTCGGTCAAGTACTACGCCAACTACGTGCAACACTTGAAGAAGCACAAGATGAGTTCGGAGGCGTTGGCGGCGCGCGATTGCGACGACGTCGAGATGGAGGTGGAGGAGGAAGTTACCGAGGACGCGATGAGCGAGAGGAAGCTGTCGCTGGGCGATCAGCAAGCTTACAATATCCTGCAGCAACGGTTGTTAGTCAATAGTGCTAGTCCGAAGGAGGAGGAGAAGAAGACGTTCACGTGCTCGAGTTGCCCGTACGTGAATTACAGGAAGGACGCGGTGGACAACCACCAGAAGCGGCACGTCAGCGTGTCGGGGACTAAAAACAATTACACGTGCGAGCACTGTGATTATTCGGTTCCGCAAGTGCACTTTCTGAGGGATCATACCAAGTTGCACTTCTTACCAAAAAGTGGCCAAGTGGAAGGGTATATGGTGTGTGATAATTTCAAGCTGGTGTCGAAGAAGGTGGACGACGAGGAGAAGAGCGGTGAGGTGGTGTTCGAGGAGAACGGGGGGGAGGAGAAGGAGTTCCTGCCGCCGCTGAGTGAGGACGTTTCGGAAAAGTTCAATAATAACGACGGGGAGAAACAGTTCGTTAACGTAGATACGGGGGAAGTAGCGGGGGGTAGTGACAAGATGGAGAGTTAGTCAAATTTCTAGTGATAATTATCGTATTGTGAGGACTAACGAGGTTTGCCTTAGTCTTTAATATAGAGAGTATTTCTACAGAGTATTTTCACATATTGCTAGTACATTTTCAAGATCGTAGTATTAATTTCAATTTTCTTACCTTGAATAGTCTTGTATCTTGTATTTATTTTATCTTATTGATGTTCTTCATTATCATGGGTTTATTAATTAATAACGCCAAAGCATTTAATGCCAAATTTTGCCATAATTGTTGTATTTGTATTGTTTACAGAGAATATATGAGTTCTATTGCATCCAAAACGTGTTTCAATTTTTAATAGGGACACCTCGATGGACGCTGAAAACCACTTTTCTGATTTTTTATTACTTTCCGAGCGTAAGCTAAAACACCACCACCAGACGTCATCTCCATAATGTACAAATAATAAAAAAAAAATAAGTGTTTTTAATTTTACAAAATAAGATCCCCCCCCACTTGTGGTGTTTGACCCTAAACATCCGGATTTTTGAAAATCCAAAACCGAATGCTCTTAAATCTTGCAAACGGTTTAAGGTAATCTTAATCAAGGTAAATCGTTAATCAACATTTATTTGTTTAACTCGTCGCAAAAAATTGATGACGTCATCATCGTCGTCATTTTGTAATGGAGAAACTCACTTGAAATGACGCATAGCACGCTTCTTTATATTTATTTACTTTAGCATCGCCTACATAACTTTTTTTAACTTACGAAGGTTATTTATCATAAAGAAATAAAATTGGCAAAATCAAATGTTATAATTTTTCAAAAAATTTTATCAGTTACCATCGACCCAATTTTTTGATGTCACAATAGTTTTTGTTTTTTCTTTTATTTTTCGATTCATCGATTTTTAGTTTCTCAATTTGTAATTTTTCATTGTTTCGAATTTAAAATTTTTTTATCACAAGTTTGCGTCTTTTTATTTTCTTCCATTTTTCAATGTTTCGGTTTCATAATGTTTCCAATTTTTCGTTTATTCAATATTTGGTTTGCAATTTTTGATTCTTCAATTTTTCACTTCTACAATTTTACAAAATTCTTGACTTTTTTTCAGTTTCTCAATTTTACAATTTTTGTCTTTACTTTTCGTTTCCTCAATTTTTCAAGTTTTTGGTTTTTCATTTTCCCGATTTTTTCATGTTTATTTTCTCGATTTTATATCACAATCTTTCGTTTGTTCATTTCCTTTATATTTTCAATGTTTCTTTCGATTTTATAACTTTTCCTTTATTCAGAGTTTCAAATTTTCAATCTTTGATTTTTCAATTCCTCGATTTTCCAGTTTTAAAATTTTTCAGTTTTGCAAAATTGCGTTTTTTCAATTTTTAAGGTTCTCAATTTTTAATTTTTCGATTTTTCAATTTTTCGGTTCTTCAAATTTTCGAGTTTTTAGATTTTTCAAAGTTTTCATTTTATAAGTTTTCGTTTTTTCATTCGTGAGTCTTCAATTTTGCAATGTTTCCGTTCTTTTGATTCGAAAAACCGGAAAAAACTGAAAAAACCAAAAATTTTTTCATTTTTGGTTCCTCAATTTTTAGTTTTCTCGATTTTTAATTGTCCAATTTTTCGATTTTAAAATTTTTTGTCACAAGTTTCCGTTTTTTCATTTTCTTTCATTTTTCATTCAATTTTTGTTTTTTAAATTTTCCAGTTTCTCGGCCTCCAAATTTTTCTACTTTTCGTTTCTTCTACATTTTGATCTGCAATGTTTTAATTTTGCAATTTTTCGATTTTAGTTTTTCGTTTTTTCAATTTTTTGTTTTTCGTTTTTTCAATTTTTAGTTTCTCAGTTTTGAATTTTTCGATTTTTCAATATTTCGCTTCTTCAGTTTTTCAGGTTCTTGATTTTTATTTTTCAACTTCTATATTTTAAATTTTTTTCTTGATTTTGTCATTTTCGCGATTTTTTCATTTTTATTTTCTCTAGTTTATATCACAATTTTTCGTTTATTCACATTTTTCAAATTTTCATTCTTTGACTATTCAATTCCTCGAGTTTTTGGTTTTAAATTTTTCAATTTTGCAATTTTTGAATTTCTTAATTATCCGATTTTTCGATTTTACACCATTTCGTTTTTTCGATTTTCGAGTTTCTCAATTTAAATTTTTCGGTTTTTCAATTTTTCGTTTCTTTAGTTTTTCAAGTTCCCAATTTTTATCCTTCAATTTTACAATTTTTAAGTTTTTCAATTCGTTTTTCGAATTTTTCAAGTTCTTAATTTATAATTCATGATTTTCTTGATTTTCAATCCTCCAATTTTTCGATTATTCGTTTACGTATTTCTCAATTTTTATCTTTCAATTTCTTAATTTTACAATTTTTTGTATTTTCTCGATTTTCTGTCACAATTTTTCGTTTTTTCATTTTCTTTATTTTTTTCTATGTTTCTTTCGATTTGATCAAATTTTCAATCTTCCAGTTCCAGTTTTTAAATTTTTAAAATCGAAAAATCGAAAAATTTCGAAATTGAAAAAGTGGAAAATCGAAAAATTGAATATCGAACAACTGAAGAAACAAAACATTGAAACCTTGAAAAACTAAAAATCGCGAACTTAAAATCGAAAAAATTAATGAATAGAAAAATTGGAAAGAAGAAAAAAGGAATCGAATCAAAAAATTTGAAAACTCAAAAATTGAAAAATTGCAAAATTATAGAATTGTCAAAATTGTAAAGTCCAAAAACTGTAATATTGAAAATTCAGAAAATTAAAAATTGAGAAACCGAAAAATAAGAAAAATTAAAAATCGTAACATCGAAAAATTGAAAAATTTGGGAGTCGAGAATTCTAAAATCCCAAAATTGAAAGTGTTTTTTTTTTAAATTATAAATATTACACATTTAACATCAAAACTTGCAATTCAAAAATTGAATAAACGAAAAATTGAAAAATAGAGAAACTGGAAAATCTAAAATTAACAAACGAAAAATTAAAAAGTCTAAAAACTGAAACATCACTGAAAGTTGGAAAATCAAAAAACTGAAAAATTTTAAAGTGAAAAATTGCAAATCGAAAAACTGAAATTGAAGCAACAAAATAATCAATTCAGAACAATGAAAAATTGAAAAAGTATAAAATAAAGAAAACAAAAGACCTAATGAAAAACTACAAAGCGAAAATTTGAAGAAATGAAAAATTCAAGAGTCGAAAAATTGCAAATTTTAAAAATTGAAGAAACCAAGAAAATAAAAAATTTCAAATCGACAATTTGAAAAAACGAAAAATTGAAATTGAAGAAACAAAAAATAATAAATTCGGAGCAATGAAAAATTTTAAAAATAAAACCGTAATGGAAAATTATAGTGCGAAAATTTAAAGAAATGAAAAATTGAAGAAACCAAAAAAAAGATAAATTGAAAAATTGTAAATCGAAAATTTGTAAAAATGAAAAATTGAAAAAATATAAAAAAAAAGAATACTAAAAACAAACAAAAAATTTCAAATCGAAAATTTCAAAAACTGAAGAATCGAAAAAAATAAAGAAAATAAAAAACTGAAACGAAAAATTACGAAGCGAAAATTTGAAGAAAAAAACTTGGAGAATCGAAAAACTGCAAAAATCTAAACATTGAAATTGAAGAAACAAAAAATAATAAATTGCAACAATAAAAAAAATGAAAAAATATAAAAATAAACAAACAAAAAACGAAAAATTTCAAATCGAAAAATCTAAAAATTGAAGAAACCAAAAAAGTGATAAATTGAAAAATTGCAAATTGAAAATTTGATGAAATGAAAAATTGAAATTGAAGAAACAAAAAGTAATGAAGTTGGAACAATGAAAAATTGAAAAATTATAAAAATAAAGAAAACAAAAAACCCTAACGAAAACTTGAAGAAATGAATAAAAAACTGAAACGAAAAATTAGAAAGCGAAAATTTGAAGAAAAAAAACTTGGAGAATGGAAAAACTGCAAAAATCTAAAGATTGAAGAAACAAAAAATTATACATTGCAACAATGAAAAATTGACAAAATATAAAAATAAACAAACAAAAACTCTAACGAAAAATTTCAAATCGAAAATTTCAAGAAATGAAAATCTGAAGAATCGAAAAATAGCAAAATCTAAATTGAAGAAACAAAAAAAGAAAAATTGAAATTTGAAAGTTTTCAAATCGAAAAATTGTAAAAATAAAGAAAATAAAAAACTGAAACGAAAAATTACAAAGCGAAAATTTGAAGAAATGAAAATTTGGAGAATCGGAAAATTGTAAAAATTGAAATCGAAGAAACAAAAAGTAATAAATTGCAACAATGAAAAATTGAAAAAGTATCAAAATAAAGAAAACAAAAAACTAACGAAAATTGGCAAGTTTGAAAACTTCAAGAAATGAAAAACTGAAGAATTGAAAAATAGCAAAATCTAAAAATTGAAGAAACAAAAAAAGAAAAACTGAAAAATTTCAAATCGAACAATTGAAAAAATAAAGAAAATAAACGGAAACGAAAAATTGAAAATTTGAAAATTAAAAACTCGAAATACTCAAATCGCCACTCATTTTCATTTCGTAGAAGTTGTCAGAAAGTAAAAATCGCAAAAAATTGTTATAATTTTTCAAAGAAGCAAAATAACCTTCGATCAATTTTTTAAATTTAAAATCCACAACATTTTTAATATGCAAAATTTCATTTTTCGGTAAATCTACCGACGAATGAGTAAATTGTGGCAACTCTGCATTTTTGACGTAAATTTGACAGCCACAGTATACTTGATTTTTCGAAAGAGGCGGTTTACGCTTTGACATAACCCCAAAAAGCTGTCATTTTTGAACTGACACAAGAGCCCGATTTACACAGCCACAAACGTCTGCTACTTTTCATTTGTGCAGTGATTGTCTCAGAGCGTCCGCCCGTTTAATTTTTAATCATTGAATTTATCAACTCACCGCGAATGCGAGTCCGGACGGAATTGATGACGCTGCATGAATTTTTAAAAAATAATATCGGATTGCTAGGTATTAATTATCTGAAA